TGCTGGAGAGAGGGTGAAACCAATGTCTTAGAATACTGGTGGCATATTCTATATTTGTAATGATGTTTTAAAATCTAGGTAAATTAATTCTTAATTTGTCACCACCTGGTATTTGTTTAATTATTCAATATAAGCGGAATTCCACAAGTTACAGCTTTACAAAACTAAGATATTCCCTAAGTAATAATAATGAATATTATTAAATAATTATCGATACATACACACATACTGTGTCCCTGCATTGGCCAGCAACCATAAGCAAGTATTTTGGAGACCTACAAATCCAGCATGTATTTTCTAAAATGAAAATATTTCATGTGAAATGCAACCTTAACAAGAAAGAGGGACGAAACATTGCAGTGCCAGATAGTCAAAACAAAGTATTTAACCAAGATCAAGGTTAAAAAAAGCAATACAGAAAATCACGTGATTATGTCTTGTAACTTGTACTGGTACCTAGTTTCCACAATCTGCCTTGCTTTGAACATGCTTCTGTACTTCTCATTTTCAAGATCAGATGATTCTTCTGTATTTACTTTAAAACCTACCTTGTAAGTATAACTTGTTTCATAAGATTTTTTTTTCCTACAAGTTTTTACTTTTTACTCTATTTCAAGAGACAAAAGTAACTGCTAAGCCATTCTTAAGACAGTAAGACAACTGGTATGCAAGACCTCCAGCAATGTTCATGCGTCTCCGTGGAAGTGGCCTCTTTAGACAAGGCTACAAAGTTCTGCAGCAACATGTTTAAATTTCAGTTATTCAGATGTCATGGTGCTTATCTCAGTGAATGAAGATAAGAACAAGAATAGCTGCAGATTAAACAGAAAAATAACATGCTTTTGCTGGCACTGCAATAGCAGTTGAAAGAAGAGAAATGGTCCTTAACTCCTAGAATTCTTTACTGAGCAGTGTATACTACCACAGAAAACTCCAAAGTGTATACAGATGTATACTGCTCAGAGTGCAGTATCAGTGTCTATTTTTGTGAGTGTTGGGGGGGGAGGTTATGGTTCATCTTAAACATATTATAAGGTTTTGCATTGGTTTAACTTCAATTCTCGGACAAAGAATTGAGGCAAATAATCAAACAAACTATAAGCACATAGAAGAAAACTAGATGAACAAGAGCCAACATGGATTACAAATCACATCAATTGCCAAACCAATCTAATTTCATACAACAGCACAGTAACAGGCCTTCTGGCTAGAAGAAAAGCTGTATATGTCAGATTTCTTGCTTTTAGTCAGGCTTTTGATACAATTTTGTAAATGTGTTGTGACATTGAGTGATTTAGGGTCGCTGAAAGAACGACCATTGAATGTATTAGTAAGAGTAGTTTTGATACGAATTTATAAAAGTGTGAATTGACAGAATTTGATGTCAAGGTTCACTCTTTTTGCTTGAATGATGCATACAAAGGAAAATAAAGATAAAATTGAGCTTAACGTCATTGATGATACAGAGACCAAAAGCACAGAGGGTAACGGAGACCTTCCTATGGAGTCGTCAGGTTTGGAGTGGACTTACCTGGCTTTCTAAACTCCTGATGGAGCCTAGGTTTGGCTGCATTCAGTCTTAGTCTTAGACCGGGACAATGGTTTATGTCTGATGGAAGAAATACAGGGAATAAGGAAGTCGTCCCATTGAGTCACGAGGTTCAGAACAGACCCTCTTGCTTTCTAAACTCCTGATGGAGCCTCGGTGCAGCTAGGTCTAGTCTTAGTCTCAGACTTGGTCAGCAGTTGATATCTAAAGGATTACAAATGTACCAATTTATTACAAATGGTATTTTTACATGGCTTTCACCTATCAGCAGCCTGTGTTTTTAAGGTGGATCTTAACATTTATAAAGTGAATCAGTAAGATTTACCATAGTTGCTATAGCAGTTTTGTACACACATACATGGGCATGCTTATAAAGACATATGAAGATATACCTGTTAAAAATTCTCCTCTATTTCAATGAAATATTCACATCGAATGTCTCAGCATTTCTCAGCGGTTGAGGGTTGAGCCTCGAGGAATGAGGGGACTTCAGCTCAGGTCCCGTTGTCAGTTCAATACTATTTTACTACCTGGATGATGGACTAGGTGATATTCTTACTAAATTTACACCTTATATGAAGTTGGGTGGGACAGAAAACTTGTTAATGGATAAAAGGGGAATTCAGAATGACCTTGCAGCATTAGAGAAAAGATCAGAAGAAAAATGATTAAACTAAATAGAGGCAAATGAGGAATTATGTCTCTGTAACAATAATCAGCTGAACAACCTAGTAATAATTCTGTAGAAAAAAATCTTGGAACTGTTTTGGACAACCAGATGAACATGAGTGAACAATTTTGTGCTGTTGCCAAATAAAATTACTAACCTCATACTGGAGTCAATTAAAAAGAAGGTGAAGAAATCCTTCACAGAATTAAAAGTGCTTCTTCTGCTTCCTAGTGGTAAGAGATTACCTTAAGTACCATACTCTGGGGCTTCTACTTCAGGAAAAAAATGTGTAACTTCTGAAGAGAATCCACAGAGAAGACAAGAGTAGTGGCTTGGAGTCTAGAAGATAAGTCCTATGAGAAAAGACCAATGTGGTATTTTTTTCATTCTAGGGAAAGAAGATTAAGGGATAGTTTGACAGCATTCTTTGACGACATAAACAGGTATTCAGAGATCAAACAGCAATTCTTTCTTAATTTCCATGATAGGGAGAGATACAACAAATAGACTTGCACCCAGAGAGGCTCAATTTAGACATTAAGAAGACGTTTTTTCTAAAAGTAAAGGTAATGTAGTGGAAAAGGTTGGCTGAGGAAGTGATACAGAGTATATCAATTTTAACAGCTGGTTAAAATAAAAAATGTCAGGAGCAACATAGGGTAAAGCTGATGCTAAACAGAAGTATGGAATAGACTAGATGTCCCATCATGAGATTCATCTCGGTTCTATATCAATCTTTAGGTTGTCAAAGGGCATACGGGGGGGGACCTATGGTAACTCCAGAAATATTCCCTTATGAGAAATGCAGGAATTTGTGCAGGGAATTAAATTTACCACTCTTTTCCCCGTAGGATTGATTGATTGATGGCTTGGCTTCACTTGCAAAGCCAAGCCATGTCCCAGTAGGAAGACTTTACTTACTGTCACAGAAATAAATGAATTAAAAAAAAAATAAAAATTAACTCATAGACATGTCTCCCCAACAATTATTCCATAGGAATCAGATCATCTGTGTGCTGTAGGCATGAAATGTAAATGATGTTTTCCAGAAGTGTTCTACTCCCATCTATGAGTCTGAATCAGCACAGAAATAAAAGGGAAAAATATTACTCCAGAACTAATAAGTTTTGAAAATGCCATCTCTGATGCCTTAAATGGACTGCAATACTTGTATCCAAGCCTGTGTATGAATCTGTGTAGAAGCGTGACCAGCCTGTCTACCCTAAAATAAGGATGTAAGCTGTGAACATTTGACTGTATCATTGTTCTGTGTTGTTTAAAATAGAAATGCATGTGATTGTCCTGAAACAATATATCCAACTTTGCTATGGAATCATGGAGACACCCTGATATATTTTTAGCAAAGTGTTGTTTTAAAGCTTGGGGGTATTTTTAATTTTCTCAGCCTTGTTCTGCAACGTCAGAGCCCTTGTGGCAATGTAAATGTCAAGATACTGCTGGTATGTCCTTTTATAGTCCTGTTGCAGAAAACCTACATGGAGTGAATTTGGACTTTGGTTCCAAATGGACTAGGGGTTTTAACCAGTACCTGGAAAAGTGTGACAGCAATGAATTAAGGTCAAATTTGTATTCCAAAGTAACTTCTAAAATAAAGTGCAATTAATGCTATTACTAAAATCCTTCTTCATATAACTGCAGCTTAGTTACCATAATCTTACTACTTAAAAAAAAAGAAAAAATCAAAAAATAAAAGGTGCACTAATTGCTGTGTAAGTTAAAGATTTCTTTGAAACATCATATGGGTGTGTTAGTGTCACAGCTTGGCTAGTGCCATTCTTCAGCCAAAAGCGCATCTACCTGTGAGCTGAGTTCCTGGGCATCGCCACTGGAAGCTATTTACAGTCAGTCCTGGAACAGGAAGAATTCTGCTTTGTCTGCATTAGCATTTTCCCATCAATGTTTTAGTTTATACACTGAGAGTATATTTTTTAAATGAGCAAAGGTCCTACAACCCCATCATCTCCCCAGCTAGGTGTTCTGTGGAGGACAAAAGAAAACAGTATGTTAAGTACATACTGGAAGTTTACAGTGATCTGACTTGCCATGTGGATAATTTCCCCTTCTTTAAACAAATAAAAATGCATGCATGCTCACACAGCATCAGAAGTTGCTAACACGCTGTAATCCTTCTTACACTGTAGTTTTTCCAGGCAGCTAAAATAAAACTATTGCTCTGCTTTGGCATTTTGGCATATATTTTACTGTAGTATATGACACAACACCTAGATTCAAGGGAAAATGAAAATGGTTATAAGTGAACATCTTTGCAACCCTAAATATTCTATGATTCTATGTTCTGACCTTAACCAAGGTATGACGATACTCACAAAAGACGCTTTTTACATTTTGTAAGTATTTGAGAGTGTTAAGAGGTGAACTCGATGAAATCACAATTCTTGTTTCATCATGTGAAATCCTTTTGAAAATCTGTTTACAATTCACAGAAGCTTTTTATCCATTCATTTTGTTCTGACAAAAAATTCTCCTTCTTTGGTTTAAACTATTTTTTATAGAACATGCCAGAATCATTACCTATAATAAATATTTTACAATATTAGTTCTGCTAAATATGAATGAACAATACTTCTATTTTTTGCTATCAGTGCTTTGGGAGGTTTACCAGCATTTAAGATTCATCCACCATTTAAAATCTGCCAGGCCTATGTGCTGCACATCTGTAGTGCGGAGCGGTTTCTGTGCTCTACACCATTTCCCTATTATATTATATTACTAATACTTTTGTTTGTTTTGTTTCCCCAGGCTACATATCCAAACAGAACGGTGAGCCAAAATCTCAGCACAAGGGACAGAAAGTCAGCACATACTCCCACAGAGGACCCTTTTAGATACTCATCAGGCAACCAGGCAACAGCCTATGAAAGCAAGAGTTGTCAGCTGTCTAATTTGTGTCTGAGCAACCTCCTAAAAGAGAACAAGATTGTGGAAGTCATCAAGCATACTAGAGGCACATACGAACCCCTCACTTCAGAGGTCACTCAGAATGGTTTGGCCACCACAGCACCAACTACAGCAAAGCCAGCATCCAAGGCAGACAGCTACCCAGTGTTCTCAGGAACTCCAAAAGACCAAACTGCTGTACCTCGGCAGCATACCACTTTCACAGGGAGACTCGGACAGCCTCCAAGGGGTCCCATCTCTTTACACATGTACAGCAGAAAAAATGTTTTCCTCCACCACAATTTGCACACAGCAGAGCTACAGACTTTAGGTCAACAAGATGGGTAACAAGGAGAGTTGATTAAAGAGGAACATAAGCTCAACTAGAGCTCATTCTTCAGTTCTCATCTGCTGCTACTTCCACCTGAAAAAAATAAAGTAAAAAATTACTGTTGTCTGTAGGTTCTATACTTTCCCACCAGGGACTGTGGCAAAAGGGTGAATTTTAATTAAATAGTTAAATTAAATTAAAAAAGTTAAATAACTAGATTGACTTGTCATGCAAAAGTCACCATGAGTGTTATAAATGGGACCATTTGGCTGGCATTTCTAGTCCAATATTGGGTAATTTATTTTTTTGTTTTCTTCTATAAGCCACTATCATTCCCTGAATTTCTAGAAGGTGATCTTAAATAATACTGTGTATGTTTAATAATGTTACTGTTAAAGTAGATGTGAGGAATGAATAGATAAGTAATTAGTAAAATCTCTTGAATTTCATAGAGACTAGGGAAATAACGAGTCAGAAATCTTTGAGGACCCTCTTTTTACACTTTTTTTTATAAAATGAAATTTGCTCACCTGTAGAGGTGTGTTACTGCTTCCTGCTGTATGTATTTTATGAATGCCTCATGCCACAAGTAGAGGAAGTGACTGATTTTCTGCTAACAGGAAGGTTCATAGAGGCTTACCAGGTATTTAAGTCAGTAATTCAGTAACTGGGTTCCAGATTGAGAATGTCAACTTGGTTCTTCAACCTTCCTTCCCCTTTCCCAACCTTTAACTATATTTGTTCAGTATTTTTGTTCTACGAGGACATGTCAAGTTGTGGTGATGTTTGTGCTTTACAGGCACTGTATCACTCATGACACAATATGAAGTTCTATGCTATGATGTAATGCATCATGTATTTTACTTCCCAAACCAAGAATGGGTGAAAGACTAAAGAGAAATTGTCTTATTACCCAGTTCCAATTACCAATTAGTAAGTCAAAATTTCTGTAGGTCGTATTGTCTGCACAACCTGGTTTATACCAGCTCAGCAGGTTTACTTGTCTTGGCATATCACACACAAGTGAGCTGAATCTAATGCTACCTGACGTGCAGCATGCTGGTCTCACAGGAATATGAAATCATCTGATCACACCATGAACCTATAGACTTGTCAGTAGCAAAAGATCCTGTTTTCCCCTTTCAGAAGGCTTGAAAATGAGAATCTCAAGTCGAGTTGCTCCAGACATGTGGCATATACTAAACATGACACTTAGTTTACAATCTTACTGCTGGAGGATAATCTGAATGATAATAGGACATATAGTTAACAGTTTATAAATAATCTGGCACATTTAAGTACAACTGAGGCAGATCTGAGACAAGACACCTCTCTATTTAACCGGTGATTAATAATGAAAGACAAGGGTACAGCACATTCTCACACAAAGAAACAAACCAGTGTCACTTAACTGAAGTAGCGTATAATAAAAAATGAAGCTTCTATAGCCACTAAAAATGTTGTAACATTTGAAAAGTAAGCCACTGTCGTGATTTCAGCATATGCCATATAGTTACATAGGGCATATAACATGAATTAATGCTACAAATTTTATCTGCTTAGCTACCTAATATTCAAATTAATACAAGCATTGATTAGATTAATAAAAAAAATGAACTATGAACTTGGCAGATATTCTGCAAAGTCAGTTAAACAACCTGCGTTTTCAGGATTCTATTTAGTGAGGTTTGGTTAGAGTAAATTTTATGACATTATCTGATGTTGAAGAGAGCAGGTTTTGTCTAAATAGTCTGTAGTGATAATTTTGGGTATCCAGAGCTGGATACAGAAGAACCAAGACAAGCATTTGCCAGACTCCTTAGTGTTTGTGTGTGTGTTGCTACTGCCAAAACACAATGTGCAAAAATTGCAAACAGCGCTTGACTGATTTAACTATGGGTGCTCAGGACTCCAGTCCTGCATTGAAACTCATAGGTTAAATTCTACCAGAAAAATAAAAATATTAGTAAAAGAATTCCTCTACTAAGAATCATGTGTTCTTCTGAGCAATCTCTTAATGTCATGGTGTATTGAAAGGACCGTTGTTTCTTAGTAACAGTACAAGTCTTGCTCACCTCAAGAGTTGATGTATGCAATTATATTTCAGATCTGTAAATAAATTAACATACACTGTAATCAAGGATTTTTTTTTCCAGGGTACAAATGTACTATACTACATAAAAAAAGGAAAAAAACAAAAAACAAAAAACAAAAAAAACCCAACAAAAACCAACAAAACCAACAAGCATACAAAAAAACCCTCCGACCAACCAAACAAAAAAAACAACAACAAAAAAACTCTTCAATTTTAACTTATGTTCTATATCTATTGATTTGTTTTTTTTTTTTCCTGGAAAAGTGGACTTTTGGATTACACTTTATTAAAAAAATATTCCATCTATACATTTCAAAAAGAACATTTTAAATGCTACTATTTTCTTGGAGAATCTTTTATAAAGCTGAATCTTAAAAAACCTGGGGAAAACAGTTCAATTAAAGTGAGGGATATTTTTAAAATGTCATCTTGAAGCTGTTTTGTATCAGTATTTTCAGCACTGTTATATTATTTGTAATACTAAGTGTAAATCTCATCCAGAGAAGGGCATTAGCCACATGTTAATGTACAGTACAGCAGTAACTGTAAACCAGAGGTCCTTTCTTTGATCCTCTTCTGTATATAGTAATCATAAAGCAACAGCATGTGGACATTCTTGCAGTGAATTGATTCCTTTGTACTAAAAATCTCTAGTTTTTTAAGAGTTCCATGTATAAAATGATTTATGGATTTCTCCAAGGCTGTACATATCCAAAGACATGACACCAGGGGGAAAAGGCACTTTTTATTTTTTCCACAGATGTACCTTTTTTCCATTTTTTATATGTTTCTGTATCACAAAGCATAACTAAAATTTCTACTGAAGATTACTTCTTGATATTTCCTTATCTTTAAACGTGTTAGAGGACATTTTAAGGAGGAGGAACTCCCCAAAGAAAAGCCATTTTTATTTGAAGCAATGTCTCATTATTTGAAACAATCACTTGACAAAAGAAACATTAGATCTGTGCCCTAAATATTTTTTTATAATTTAAGAGAGCCACATCTGAAATTGTATATTATGTCTGGACTTATCCTTACTTCTTTTACTAGAATGCTTCTACAGGATTTGTTTATAAGATAAAATAACATGCTAGGGTGAACCCTGGTCCTTGTCCAGTGCTGTTCTTATTTTGGCTTTCAGAGCAGTGGAAAGGGTATTTTTGATATACCTTGTGCACATGAATGATGTTCAAGCTCTTCTTGGGCATGCTGGAGGGAGAAGTCTTACTACAAACCTCTCTTATTTTTAGGCTTTTTAGCAACTGAAAACATCCAGCCACATAAATTTCTGCAACCTTTTCAAGAAAGGCAGACCCTCAATACATAAAATGAAACACCCAGAATAGATTCCTTTTTCTCCATCTATATTGTTATATTTAACTTTATTGCATTTTGTTCCAAAATACGTATATCCACATAAATGTTAGAAGGGCTTTCCTTATATGTCTTTTTTTCTGGAAATTTCAAAAGAGAGTGTATCTAGACTAGGATGTTCACATGAGATTTGGATAAGCATTTCAAAGCTTACCTGGGCTACTCATGTTTGTCCATGTTCATTGCAGTCACTGCCTAAAAATTGATATTTTTCCTTTTCCTAAAAGCCAGTTTGGAAGTAGTGATTTCTGTCTGTGATTATTCACTGTATACTGTTAAATGGACAGTATACTCTGCAAACTAATCAAAATAGGCTATTACATATCAGTTCTGTATTTTATATGCCATAACTGTTCTGGCATATCTTCACAGGTTTGATTGATATGACACTGACTTCAATTTGACCATACTGTTTTACGTCACCTGGCAATTGGGATTGTGGCCTTTAATCCACTTAGCCTCAGTTTATGCCTAGATCTCTGAATTTGGAAATCTTTCCTGGTTTACAAAAAAAAGACAAGAAAATATTTGACCTAGCAAATGATAGTGAATGTTTGGGTTTTTTCTTTTTACTTCCTTCACATTTGTAAACAAAAATAACCCCTGCAAAACTCTTTATTCATCTACGTAAGTCATAAATGAAGTCCAGTGAAGTAGCAGTGACCTCTTACAAACCTTTCAAAGAAATATGTGGAGCAAAAAATCCACAGGAGTCCTCTTACAGACATTTATAGTGGTTTGAAAGCATAACATATGTATCTGAGCACATTAATGATACATGTCCTATGGCATCTTTTCTTCTACTCTTGCTACTGATGATTTTTTTTCTGGAGGAGAATTTGCTGTTTAAAGCTTGTTCCAGAGGAAATAGGCAGTACAGAGTGAAAAAGTACATGGAAAGTAGCAGTGGAGGTCTTCTCCCAGCTTGGAGAAACACACAGTATCATTTCCAGGATTTTAATGTTCTTCAGTCAGCAAGGAGTTGGCAGAGATCCCTCAGGAAAACATACTCAAATCATGCAGGCCATGACTGCCTTTAAATGTAGTGTAGTCTAACATGTCTTATGTAAGGCACTTCTAAGATCATTTGGAAATTTCAGCAGATGCAGAATACATCTTACTGATTTTTTATTTTTTTTTTTAAGATGAAAAAGCCATGTGCTGTTTTTAACATAGGAAACTGTTTGGGTCTTGCTTCCTCACTGATGATCTATCCAGCTTGTGAGAATGTATCCACTGTGATATGTATTTTACTAGTGCTTTATCTAATGAAAATTGAAAAAGAGAAAAAAATACTTTTATTGGTATGAATTTCCTATAAGTCTGAGATTCTCAATAGCCATGGCTGTCACTTCCATTTTGTATAGCTGTGAAATGTTTTTGGATTTGCCTTTTTTGTTACCTTCATTACCAGCAAATCATTACCCTAGTTATGTTTTGTTTGGGTTTTTTTTCGCCCTCAAGCCTGTACTTGAAGTATACCAGGAGGACTGTTGAGGATTTCTGCAGAAGTAATCCTAGTCCTATGAAAGCAGGGCAACAGTAAATTTACCTGAAGGTATCTGTATGATTCTTGGGGATGGAAAACCTATTCTGACTGATCTTAACTATTAAAAATTTGTGAAAATCTGATGAATATCTATTGGTTTTCCAAATCCATAGAGACTATAGAGCAGAAAATACTCCACTGAGAAGGTTTTTTTAGTGCACAAATAATATCTTCTTATATTTTGCATTGTGACCCTTAGTGTGTCTCTCTGGATTTCAGAAACATCCCCTCTAGGTATGAACTTGTGCTGACTATGTAGACAGGTTGCACCACAGTGTCCTTTCTGCTTTAAGAAGGCCCCACTGGATTTTTTAATATCTGATCACCAAAATATTGAGTATTCTCTTCCGGAACTGTTGTGCTGTTGCTAGAGTAGCATGCACTACATTCACAGAAAAAAAAAAACACTCCCTAACTGAATGCTCCAACTCTGTTGGTGAGTTGTCATTGCAGCTGGTTTACATCTACCCCAGAAGACTGTCAAACTTACTTAAGCACCTATATAAACAAATATAT